GAAAAAGACGATTTTCAGTATCTTGTATACGGAAATATTTACGAATTTATTATACTGTTTTTCTACGTTTTTTATACATTTTTTAAACGTATTATTTCCGTATACTTTCCTTATACTGATTATTTATAGGGATTTTGATTTTATGTATATTTAGATCTTAGAATTCATTATATTGAAAGTTAATTGTATTTAATTTCTTAAAACTAAATTAAATTCATTTTGAATTTAAATGTTTAAATCTATAGTTTTATAATTTTTACTAAAATTTTAATATAACTTCATTATTTTTATAAGCTTTGATATGCTGAATTTCACAAATTTTTTAATAATTTTAATATAATTTAACTAAGTTTTATCTTTATCATTTTGACGACTAATTAAACTTTAAACTTCATTTAACAACCTTAGACTAGAATAATAAATAAGCTAAAATTCATCAATTTTAAATCTATTAATCTTAAAATAATCACATTTGAGTTATTAATAAAAATTATAATTTTATAAAATTCTTCTTTAAATACAAATTACTCAGATTTAAAATTCAATCATAATTAATTTAATATTAATTAATCTAAAATAGCTTATTAGATTGTCTAATTATAAAAAATGAATAATATTAATTTATAAATAATAAAAAATAAGATAATATTGACCAAAATTGTAAATTATTTTTTTAAAAGAATTTTTATATATAATTCTTTTTAACTATTTTGATTTTTATTTAAACTTTAACTTGTAGAATTAAAATATTTCAACTTTTAGATATTATTTTATTTTAGTAAAAATATATATTAATTATTAAAAGTTATTTTTTTATTTAATATTTATTTTATATATAAATAATTTGTAAAAAGAAGTTATAATATTAAATTTACATATTTTTTATTATTAAATTATCAATATTATTTAATTAAAATCAATAAAAATCAATTTATTTAATTTATAGCTGATTTTTAAGTTAAGCTGATTTATATAAAAATCTTTTAATTGAAAAAAAATTATAATAAAAAAGGATAATTATTTTAAAAAAAAATGATAAAATATTTTAATTAGAATTATAAAAATCATTTCATTTAAAAAAATAATTATTCAATTAAAATGATAAAAAAAATACTCTTTTTAACTAAATAAATAAATTTTAAATAGATTTTTAATAGTTTTTTTTATTTTTTTAAAAATATATTTAACATTAAATTAAATTAAAGTAATTTTCAAATAGTTTTTAATTTTTTGTTTATTTTTAAAAAATATAAATCATATTTAAATAAAATAAATATTACAAAGTAAATTTATATAAATATTAGTTTTATTTTATTAGTTTTTATTTTTACAAGTTAATTTATAATTGATTAAGTAATTATAAGTATCAAATTTTAATATATTTTTTGGTTAAATTCTAGCTGAATTTTAATTAATTTTATGTTTAATTTTTAAATTAAATTATATTTGAAATGTTATTTTTAATAAGATTTAATTATTTCTAATAAAACCAGTCTTAGATTCTTAGATTGATTAATAATACAAATAATACAAGTTTTTATAGTACTCAGTCTTAATTTTAAAGATTGATCTAGACCAGTTTATAATTATGTGATATATAATTATATATTTATAGTTAAAATTATTACTCAATAATAAAGTTTATAATATTATTTTTAAGTTGTAATAAATTATCATTAATTCTATAAAATTATAATAAATCTTTAAAATCAATAAATATTTAATTTATATTATACCAATTATACTATCATGCATATTGTTAAAATGATTTTTGTATCACATAATAATTGCAATAATATTGTAGTAAAAATTTATAAATATAAGAATAATTTATATATAATATTATAAGACTGGTGATTAAATAGATTAAAATACTTACTCAATTAAGTAACAATAAGTCTCAGCTTAGAATTTTCATGTAGAAGAAACTTACTTCAATTAAGAAAATTTATTACACTTGGTATTTTAACCTAACAATTGAGTTTTTATGTTAGAAAAGTATGAGAAATTTTCTGACTTTACCAGCTTTAAAGTATTGATAAGATATCATAAAGATAACAACAAATATATATAAAATTATTTAACAAATACATGCCTAAGATTAATAATAATATCAAAACTAAATGATTAATAAGGATATCATGAAAACACTTAGTAAATATGTCATAAAGATTATTAGCAAGAATATTACTAAAATGAATAATAAAAGTATTATGAAATAATTAATAAATGTATTACATAAGCAAAATAGTTTTGTAATGCACTTAAATAATCATAAAGATTGATTTAAACAAGTCCTTTTATTATATCTTTTATACATTAATAAATCTAAAGATACATAATTGAAATCTTTTGCTCTTTATAATAAATTTTCGATGCTAAGTTACTAATCTATTACATAAAATTTATATAATAATTCTGTCATTTTATTACGTCTTTTTTGAGATGAACTAAGATATTACTTTATTTTCTTATTTTTTCTTTAATTTAGCTTTAATAAATTCAATTTTTTGTAGATCATTATTATATCATATGATTAGTAAATCATCTGAAGATAAACTGTACTATATAATCAAGTGAACTATACTATATGAAAGTGATTGTAACCAATAATAACCAATAATATTTCATTGTATACTTTTTTTTGATTTTGTATAATTATCATATAATAAAATATGATTAGTTTAATCACTTTCATATAGTATAGCTTATCTATTCATCTTATCTGTAGATCTATATGTCAATTATCTTTACTGTATCACAATTTAATCTTCTTTGAAAATTATTTGAATAACAATAAATATTATTTTAATATATATTAAACTGATTGAAACTTAATATTAAGACTAACCTAAATATTAACTTAAAAACTGATCTGATTTAAATATAGATAAAAAACTAATCCTTTGGAATTAGATCAAATTTGATCAGACTAATCTAACCTATTTTAAATTTGGTTTAATCAATATATTAATCAAAATCAAAAAAAATTGCTATTTACCATTATTAGATAATTAGTCTAAATTTAAATATTAGCTAATATTAATTATTTATTTTATAGTTAATTAATGTAAATTTAATCTGATTGAAATATTTTCAAAAAAATAATAAAAATAATCAAATTAAAATAAATATATGTGAGTATTGTGATAAAGAAAAAGGAATCTCTAAAAATAATTTTTTTGTAGTTTATGTTTAAATCATTTAAATCTGAACTTATTTTACTAAAAAATCATATTTAGCTTATAAAGTAAAATTTAATTTTTTTAAAGTTTCCTTTCTTTCTACTAAAAGTTTCTATATCATCTTAAAAAAAATAATATTATCTTAAAGAATCATAAATTATTTAATTAAAATAATAAAAATCATTCTTAAAACAAAATAAATCATTCTAAAAAATAATAATGATCATTAAAAAAATATTTTTATTAAAATTTTAATTTTTATTGCATTTTAATTTTTGATAATATTAGATTAAAATGCAATATATATTAAAATTTTAATAAAAAATGTTCAGAGCCCCATTTTCCTAGCAAACTTCCCATATATCTTGATATTAATTATACATTACATGACGAATACCATAAAGAAAATTATGCATCTTTATACATAAAGGTTATATAAAGTGAATTGGAATTAATTTAAAGCTAAAAAAGACGTTAATAATACTACAGAATTCTTTTATATACTTATATATTAAAAAAAATTATATCTCTCATAATTAATTAAGTCGCCTATAATTAATTACCATCCTTGTAATTAATTATGTTTACAAGTATTAATTACCATCACATAATTAATTATATTTTCTGAAATTAATTACTATCTATGTAATTAATTATGTCTATAGGTATTAATTATCACACTTGTAATAATTACATCATTCGTAATTAATTTTTACCCTATAATTAATTTCGCAATCATATTTTTTTTAAAAAATGGTAATTAATTACCATAATTATGTATTATATATATACTTAATTAAGATAATTACCATCTAACTTAATAGTTAAATTACAAATCTTCTATATGTTAAAGTTTTATTACACAGCAATAGGCTAAAGTTCAAATCTCAGTTAAAGTATAATATTATATAATTTTCATAAGAATTTTATTGTAGCTGAACTGATGGGATCTGTGCAAAATCCTGAAACTCGAAATCCTGATAGCACATAATCCTAACAGTTTAAATCCTAAAATATTAAATCCTGAATTGTCACAATCCTGAATGTCACAATCCCGAATGCCATAATCTTGACAACATCAAAATCCTGATTTGTCATAATCTCGAAAAATCAAAATACTGACATGTCTTAATCCCGAAAGATAAAATCCTGAAATAATAAATTTATCATAATCCCGAAAAATAAAATCCCAAAATGATAAATCATAATCCTGAATATCACAATCACGAACATCACAATCCCAAATTTCAAAATCCCAAATATTGTACTTTTGATTATTATTTTGCAAGAGTAACGTAATATTAAAAAGAGTCTAATATGATATCCTGAAAGGTACGAAATCCTGAAACTTTGAGTATAACATTAATCAATATTTCAGGATTTCCTACTTTTCGGGATTTTGAGTTTCAGGATTTTAAACGGATCTTTTTTAATTATATGAAAAATTTATAACTAATTTATAATAATTTTATTTTTTTTGTGAACCTATTATTTGTATATATGCAATGTGTAATGCAATATCATCAAAAATCTTAAGCAGTTTATTTACAAAAAAAAAAATACATTTTTTTAAACCTAATAAACGTGTTTTTCTTAATAAGTATTTACAATATATATGTAATATACACTGTATTTTAATAAAAAAAATTACAAGGAAATGTTATGTGCTATGCTACGAAGATAATCCATTAATTCACAATTTACACGATCATTAAAAATGATCATAATTCATTTTTCTCGCTCAATTAAAGATTTTTTCTGACTTAGTCATTATTCATCATGAAGAATTTTCTCAACCTGTATCTCAACTTGGTGCTATTCTTTTTAAAACTCTTGAATTATTGTATAAACTCCTACATGTCATTTTCTGACCAATGTTTTTCAACGACGATATCAAGCTTTTATTACATTCTGTATTCTTGGAATTTCTGATTCAATTGAATCATGAACTGACCATAACTTTAGCGGAAAAGTGGGCTGAAGTCGAACTACGTTATTATTTCATAATCGCCTTTGTACCTTTTCATAAACATAATTTTCTTCAAACTATGATATCACACTATCTGCAATTGAGGGTATTAATGGTTTTAAAATATCAAAAGCATTAGGAATATCATCGGCTGGTAAAAATGCCAGTGCAAATAAATAGCATAATATTTTGCTAAGATTTTCATCTGAACCATATTATATGACTAGACCAGCTTCTTGAATCTTTCGTCAACCATTTTGACTTAGGTGAAAAAAGCAACCCTTATTGGTAATATCTGGATATTCATCATGAGATGTATTAATAGATGCACATTCAAAATCTGTAATTATTGTTGATGGTCTTAATTCAATATTGATTTCTTCAGAGAATTCATTTAAATATTGAAATAATGCTTTGTACAAATCTTTGGTCTTGCTCGACATTAATGCATAAACAAGTGAGAGAATTCTATAATTATCATCAGCACAACAGGAACATAGATAGTATATAGCTGATAAAAAATTGTTAGAACTGTTTTGAATGTTCCATTCATTATTCAAAATGTGGCTTGTGATAAATGATGAATATTTCCTTTTGTTATGAATAAGAGAATTCTTTCTTCTCTAATAGTTGAATCTTTTATTAAAAAAAGATTTCCACTTAATGTATACTGAAGGGAATCTTGAATATCAATTCCATCAAGAGATTGTGATTCAGATAGCATTTCAGCTTTTCTAACGTGTTTGATTCTTGCATGAAGAGCATTTTGTGTTGGCATGTAAGTAGAAACTTTTTCGAAGATAGTAGTTATATTGCTTTGAATAATCTGTACAGATAATTCTCTAGTTTCTTTAGCTTGCTTTTTAATATGAGCTATAGCATTTGCGACATTACCATCAGTAGTTTGAGGAGAGTGATTGTGATTAACAAGTTTTTGAAGGTAATGAGAACTGTTAGAAAATTATGTTATTGCTCGACCTTTACAATTTTCACTTTTTCTTTTCTCACAGCACTAGTAATAAACATCATTTTGGTCTTTTTCTTTTATCATCAAATAACCGCATACATTAATTTTATTATATTCTTTTTGAGATGTTACAATTTCACAGATTTTATTATCTATTTCATTATTCATTATAAATGATGTGGGATTTTTAATTTGAATTTTCTTAAAAAAAATAATTAAACAAGATGAATTAGATTTTATATAAAATTTTTGTTGAACTGGCATTGGCAAATAAAACTAGTTTACATAATTATTTAACAGATTCGTAGCATCATCTTATTAAAATTCATGTCATTTTTGTGGCTTTACTCATTAAATTAATAACAAAAATTTGAGGTTTTAGTTAATAAAATTGTTCATATATTGTTTTATTAAAATTCATAATATTTTTATGATTTTACTTATTAAATTCATAGCTAAAACTTGTGGCTTATTACTAGAATTATTTGTGTCTCATTTTATCAAATTCATGGCAATTTTTTATTAAAACTCATAACATTTTATGGTAAAACTTGTGGCTTTGTTATTATATTATTTGTGACTTTTTTCTATTAAATTTGTAACAATTTTTTATTAAAACTCGTAATATTTTTATGGCTAAAACTTGTGGCTTTGTTATTATAATTATTTGTAACTTTTTTCTATCATAACAATTTTTTATTAAAACTCGTAGCATTTTCTTTTTAAATTTTTAAGAAAAATTTGTATGAATTTTTCTTAAAATTCAAAAATCAAATTTCAGATTTAAACTGAATATTTTAAACTGGATCAAATTTACGATATCCAGATATCTGAAAAATAATAATCTGAGTTAGCCTCTTTAATGATATAAGTGATAACAATAGCTATTATGATTTTTATTTTTTATTTAGCTTTTATTTTTTATATAGTTTTTATATTTTCTTTACTTTTATAATTTATATAGAAGATATATGTATTATCCCTGCATTTTTGAATAATTATAAATAAAGTGCCTTTATGACTTCGAAATTGATCAAAATTTATAAAATTAATATTTTCACATAAAAGAAATTGTTATATTTCTGATGAAATTATATAAACCGATTGTTTATTATTTGTTTATTTATTTATTAATTGTTAATTTTATGTGTTAACGCAAGAAAGCTAATC